GAAGACAAAGCTCTTTCTCCTTGGCGGCCCTCAAGAACGGGTACTCAGAATTCCGCTGCCTCTGGACACAGGGATCCAGTCACGACAGGTTCCTGAGCCCCTGGGCAGTTTTCCTTCCAAGGTAGAAGGCAGCATCCCTGGCAAGATAGAAAGATGCTGCCTGCAGAAAAGAGGAGTGGCTGACAAGCCACTAATCGGTGGCCTAGTGCTAAGGAAGATCTGCCCTTCTGGAAAGAAAGCCACCGCCTTGATCCGAAGCATCCTGGCCAGCAGTGCAAGTGTAGTTCTCCCCCACTGTGGCAGCTCCTCACACCTCCGCCAGATGCAACAGCTCACCCAGCTGAAAACAAGTGTCTGTTCTTCCAGCATCTTTTAGGCGCTGAAGGATACTTCCCTCTTAGAATGAAAGGGAAAACACACTACCAGCATTGGGCCTTACCTTGGAGGCATCAGGTTTGCGATCATCCTGTTGAGAGAAGGAGAAAGAAGGGGAGACCCTGGTTACACGCCTGGGGAAAACAGCCTCTCTGCCTCTTCTGAAGGAGCAGCTGAGCTCCTTGGGAACCCGTGAAGACCCCAAAGAGGTGTTCAGGCGGCTGCCATGGGAGTCACCATGCGCACGCGCCTGGATTCACAGCACACAAAACCCTCCACAGGGAGTTTGGTGGTACCTAATAATATTCTGTCCTATGTTTATTTAAAAGATTCATATGGCCGCCAATCTTAAGCAACTCTGGGCAGCTAACAACATATAACTGAATGATTTTAAAAGTAAAATATAGGAAATCAGTGCAATATAAATCGGAATACAGTAAATCTACCTGTACACAAATACACTTAGAAACATCAATTCTGAGTAGAAAAAATACAAAAATATACTGAATCTAAATCACATCGTCTTTTGTGATAACCACTGTTAAGTGGTTCGCTTAACAACATATTAGCCCTGAAGGAAAAATACCACAGAGAAAATGAAAAGTCTTTCAATAAGGGATAGAAAACAACAAAAGGCATGCTCCACTTATTTTCATAACTATTTTGATTGATACATGCCAGCTTAGCCATTTATTTCAGGATCCCCTCTGGAGAGATGTGGGTAAAGCATCAAATCTGGCTAATGAGACCATCCTTCTCTGCTTGTAAAGCATGACTTCACTTGAGTAACCTGCTCATAACTTATGAGAGAAACTCTGGGGAGATGACTTGGCCTACTAAACAGGAATTCTCAGACAAACCAAGCAAAGGATGAAGTGCTCCCAGGGCCATGGGGACACTATGGTTCAGAAAAGGAGCTGCTCCCCAAAGAGGAAACCTTTCAGCAGAAATACCACAAGGATTCCAAATTTATCTTCTGAATAGGACTTTACCGGATGGACCTCTCCTATGAAGTACTGCTTAAGCATCTCTTTAGCGTCCATGGAGTGGCCAACATCTTCAAAGTTCTCTGTAGCATCTCTACCAGCTTGTTGAAGCAAAACCTTATCTCCACCTGGATGCTAAAAAGGAGAGAAACTCTGAGAAAGAGCAGTAACGAGAGAAAAAACAGCCATTCTCTCTTTAAGTTATAAGGAACTGGCAGGTATTCAATATTTTTCCCACTGAGGATCTAGGAACACTTTACCATGAAATAAAACCCATTAAACGAATGCAACAGGACCTATTTCCTAACTGACTCTTAAAAGCTTGCATTCTATTAACGCAACCCCATCAAAGTCTACTCAGAAGCAAGCCCTTTGAGTTCCATAGAAACTCTCTGAGGTAAATTCATATGTATATGCCATGTCCTTTCTGGGAACTGGCTTGAGAAAACCCAGCCTCCATCAGCCAAGCACCTAGATACTGGCAACATTACAGAAATAGACAAGGGGGTCTCCTCCAGACATCTAGTCTTAAAACCCCATTGGTCCCCAGAAACATGGCCAGAACAAGGAATTGTGGGAGCTGTAGTTCAACGATGTAGACAACACCATTGCCTTCCCATGCAGTTCTGGTAACTTGGGGAGGAGTTTGCTTCTCTTATCTCTGGCCAGATTAACGATGGTATGTTGAGCACACTTCTGTGTTTCAGGAAATTTGCAAGACTGCTTCGGCCTATTATTGCCCCTAATATTTTCAGGGTGACAGAAGCTCACTATATGCTCAGGATTTAGCTGCTCAAAATTCTCAGTGGCTCCCAAGGTGCTGGATGCGGGCAGGGGCTTTGGCAAGCAGGTTGTCAGGCTGCCGTGCATTACCAAGCAAATACTGCGTGGCACAACGGCTGCAAGGGAAGGCTCTCTGCTCTGCTGGCAGAATGCCCAGAGTTTAATCCTGGCTCGTTCCCTCAGGAAGATGGAGGGAAGGCCTCCCTCTGACTGAGAGGGCCAGAGAACTGCTGCCCAATGAAGTTGATAACAGCAGGGCAGGCAGGCAAATTGCCTAGCATGCTGGAAGGCTACTTATAGGATCTTTCCAACTGATGTTTGGCTTCCTGCTTCCCTCCCTCCCCCCCCAGGGAGCAGATGCCATCAGCTGACAGCAGAACAGGAGCCAGACAGCTTGTCGGGTCAGTGAGTGCAAAGCGGGCAAAACATGCCCAGACACACCCTCAGCAAGCTGCAAGGAACCCTGTGGTGGATTTTGCTCCCAGGGTAAAACTCCTCCAAGGGTGAGGCGGGGAGCAGAGGTTAAGGGAATAATCTCTGATTGACGTCATTAGTTTCCCCCTGTGGCAGATTTCACATTTTTACCCAGAGAAATACAGAAAGCGGTGTGGACATAGGGGAAGCAAGGAGATATGGACAGCACACAACAAGGGCTCCATCTGCGCCACTAGCAATTGACTTCCCTTTGCTTCTGTGGCCTTTAAAGCGAAGGATGTTTATCCCAAGACATTCAACATACTCCTCTGCATTGCTCAGATTAGACATGAGCCTGACAAGCTCCCTGGCTAATTTATTTATTTATGTGATACAATTTTGGTGCCACCCGACTCCGGGAAGCTCACAATGTAAAAACATTCTTAAGTTGACTTCCACTTCACTGGAAGAGGCCAGGATGTCACAAGGACTTCTATTCTTGGTACCGCCTTACAGGCTGCTGCTGTTCCTGACGGCTTAAATAATCCAGCTCAACAAGAGGCGTAATTGGATGTACAAAAAGATTGAGAAATTGGATTCATCAAGAGCCAAGGGATCTTTCAGGCAGAGTAATATTTTCTTTAAGGTTTACACGTTCCATCAGCATGCCACGTTGGAGAGCATGCCATGTCCATTCAGGGTTGCAGGAGCTTTGCTTCCTGGCTTCAGGCAACAGCGATTCAGATCCGCCCGCCTGGCTCCCAGGGTCTTAGACCCACTCAAGAGCGGCAGAGGCTCCAGAGTTAGGGTTGAGCGGGCTTCTCCCTTCTCCGACCTCCGCCCTGCAAACATTCTAAACGCCTGCTTCGGATCACAGGCAGCCGAGCCCTTCCCCGGGTACCCTCCTGAGGAGAACTGGGATGCCCTGTCGACTGAGACCTGACTGGCACTGACCTTATATTATTCCCAGCACCGGTTAAATTCTTTATTTGCTGAGGCATTTTGACTGCGCTCATGTTGACTAGGTGGCTCTACCGTTTCGGCAATCTGTAGACCGTTATCATTTTATTTAATTATTGTTTTGCCTCGAGATAGTTGTATTGGTGCTTGAAATATAGGCAAGCCAGGAGGCAGCTGAAGATACCCCTATGAATGGATGGATGGATGGGACCGACAGGCCGCTCTTGGGCCATTCAGGACTCTGATTCTGGTCCCTCCTTCCTTCGGGCGACTGCGCTGCCAGTCCAGCGCTGAACCTCCTGCCGCATTTGC